ATGTTATCCAGTAACAGAGTCTATATGTACCACTAACAATCATGTTATCCAGTAACAGAGTCTATATGTACCACTAACAGTCTTGTTATCCAGTAGCAGAGTCTATATGTACCACTAACAGTCATGTCATCCAGTAGCAGAGTCTATATGTACCACTAACAGTTTGTTATCCAATAGCAGAGTCTATATGTACCACTAGCAGTCATGTTATCCAGTAGCAGAGTCTATATGTACCACTAGCAGTCATGTTATCCAGTAGCAGAGTCTATATGTACCACTAACAGTCTTGTTATCCAGTAGCAGAGTCTATATGTACCACTAACAGTCTTGTTATCCAGTAGCAGTCTATATGTACCACTAACAGTCTTGTTATCCAGTAGCAGAGTCTATATGTACCACTAGCAGTCATGTTATCCAGTATCAGAGTCTATATGTACCACTAACGGTCTTGTTATCCAGTAGCAGAGTCTATATGTACCTCTAACAGTCTTGTTATCCAGTAGCAGAGTCTATATGTACCACTAACGATCTTGTTATCCAGTAGTAGAGTCTAGATGTACCACTAACGGTCTTGTTATCCAGTAGCAGTCTATATGTACCTCTGACAGTCTTGTTATCCAGTAGCAGAGTCTATATGTACCACTAACAATCTTGTTATCCAGTAGCAGAGTCTATATGTACCACTAACGATCTTGTTATCCAGTAGTAGAGTCTATGCGTAACACTAGAAGTCATGTTAACCAGCAGTAGCAATCTGTTTCAATGCAACACTAGAAGTTAAGGTATTTAGAAATATTTTTACTTTAAAAGATATGGACAGAATATTAGTAGTGTCATCATTATAAAACTGTTAAAGCAAACGTTTAGAATGCTTTGCATATACGTTAAACGAAAACCCAAAGCCCTAGATATACAAAATGTTTTTTGACCAATGTAAAAACTGCTTTACACATAAAGTGGTGTATATTGGAGATGATAGAATTTACATTTGCGTCGACAATTAATGGCACAAAAGTACATAAAAATAAAATTTTTTTAGTAGTCTACCAATGTTTATGGACCATACCACCATTTATAGGCCTGGTAATTGGGATGCTTGAGTCACAATCCGAGGGTCGGTGGTTTGAATTCTTATCACCAAACACGCTCCCCCTTTTATGTTTCTCACTGGGCCAACCACCTGGGTTTAAAAATTCTTAGCTTAAAACTTAAGCAGCCAACCCCTAATATAGCTGAGATTAGGGTTGATTAAATGGAAATAAAAAGTGGACATCCAAGTTCGAGTTGTAATTTTTTTGTGAATTGTCATAAAGTTTAATAGGATATATTTACACCATAATCTGGATTTACTGAATAATCATAAGATCTTGAAAACATAATGTTCAAACTAGTGAAGATAGTGAACTTTTAACAGAAGTAGTTCAGACCAAATAAGTTTACCAAAAATTAAAATTATCCAACTTACCAACTTCCAAACTGGCAGCTAGAGTGGACCAGCCCACACGACACAATCCTTCGTCTGTAACTTTAGCCTCATAATAATACTTTCCTGCAGGGTGTAAACATGACTTTTAGGTTACTTCGATTACTTAAAAAGTCATCTTAGAAAAAGAACTAAAAGCTGTGAAATTGAGCAAATAAGAACACAACTTTCCTTTCTAGCTGATTGAAAACCACATGTTAATGCCTATTTTGATTTATCGAGAAATTCATATCCTGGTACTTACTTGAACTGCAAATCATGAAATGTTTTTAAATACATAAATTTACCTCCCAATGGCACAGCTGTTAAGTGTGAAAGTTCATTTTGATACACGTGTTGGGCATAGCACAGAGAGCCAATTGTGCAGCTTTGTGGTTAACTCCAAACAAACAAAAATTACTACATGCACAGGTTATAAACCTGTCATCAATCAAAATTAAAGCTTTGACAGTTCCTACATACATGATGAATATTTCCATACTTCCCTTTAAACTTAATGCTATAGACATATTAAATATTTTTAGAATTTTCTTTTTTCAAATTTAATACTTTTTCCCACCAAACCAATTGGTGAATTTCAGGGTTGGGCATTTGACTTATCCAAAACAAACTGTTCAATTGATTGGTAAAATATTACCCTTATTATTTGTTGTTGTTTTTTTATTTTTTTATCTTAACTGTGTACATCGAATTTTACTTGACAATGTAAGATATATGAAAACAAAAATAATCAGTTTATGGTCCATCTCAAGCCTTCTAACAACAGCGAAGCCTGTGTTGCATACAGTGCCACAATTCTGACATTGTGTTTATTAATAAATAATTTCAGTCATTATACCAAATAACTATCCTTTTTTAATAACATGCCATTATTAAGAAGGTATACTGCAAGTTTAATAAAATCATAGCTGTTGGCTGAAAAACATCAATATTCCATCAGGTGAAGGGTCCATTAAACACATTGATTATATTGTATTAATATAAAAGTATTAACAAAATATGGAAAAAGATAAGTAATATTAGACTATGACATAAATACAGTTTTGCTGCTGTTTGTTTTGAGCACTCCGTCATTTTGAAGTCTGTTAGTAGAGGAATAAGTGTACGTGTGTATGTGGGGGGACTTTGAGGTCTAAACATTAATACGAAAACCTAGGATAATACATGTGTACTTACAGTATTTAATACCGGTTTTTAGATAATTAGACCAGTCAAAACATAAATGGTTAATTGACTGATTTTCCAGCCCTGGTAAATTTAAGTAAAAATCAGGAATCAGTATGTAATTTCCATTGGACCACACAAAGTAATGAGCTTATTGACAAATTTTTCACTTTTTTCTTGGCAGCTCATATCCTAAGTATCTTATTTCTTCTGTAATAAACATCACAACAACTATTAGAAGTAATTCAGGCAAAATATATAATTGGATTCATATAGAAAGTTGTGAAATAGATCAATTAGCAAATTTACTTATTTCCTTGTTACTTAAACTGTTTTCAGTAACCTTTTTAAATAAAGGAACAATTTTATAAATTAAAAGTCAGCATGATACAGCTAATGTTTTGGTATCACAAATCATTTTACAATTCTTCAGTTTCATGTTTACACATCTGTTGATAAGTCTTACCTTTTCCTTGTACACCTCTTGTGCTTCGACATCCATGCTAAGACTTTGGCTCTCGACTTTGACACATCAATCCATCTGGACTTACAGCTAGATAAGTCTTACCTTTTCCTTGTACACCTCTTGTGCTTCGACATCCATGCTAAGACTTTGGCTCTCGACTTTGACACATCAATCCATCTGGACTTACAGCTATACAAATAAAAGATGACCCTGTTACTTTCTTATACAGCCCATGAGAAGGGTTATCCTTAATCACTGCGATAAGTGTGAAAGATAACATAATTTATGCATCAGATGAACATATCGAAAGATGCTTTTGCATGATAGGTTGAGAAAATCAATTTTTTTTAAACTTTAAATAAGAACTTAAGTGTACATATTAAATAACTTATAGTTGCACAATGTAAAAAGTGAATTTGGATCAACACTCAGAAGTGTTCCTAAAGTGCATTAAAAACATTAAGTTTAATCACTATATGACTTAAACTTAAAGGATGTAGTAGTCACTTGGTTTTTTCTTCAAACTTATTTACATACTGTGCAGATTTTGATACTAGTAATAAAACAAAATGTTCTATTACACCCTTTAATACAAGCAAGCTATACTGGAAGATGCTGGGCAATGTAAAAATCTACTTCAGCATCAGCAACCCCCTAATAGCTTACAGAATATCGTATAAGAAGATAAAATTTGGAAACATACACACACACATATATGTAGACACACATGACTGTCTAGCTGCAATACTTAAGCAGAAAATTTTTTAATAGTTTAAAAAAAAAAAACGTCTCACCAAGAGCATCCCCTCTGTCGAAAAAACTCATGATCCATTTCTGTGCTAAAGAAAAGAACAACAAGAAACAATTATACAGTACACAAGTATTCATCAGATCACTAATTATAAACTCTGCTCTACTAGCCCATTTTTCAAAATGATGAAAGTAGTTAAAAGTGTACAAAGAGATTAACCTCATATTACCAACTGGTATTTTATAACATTCTAATTCACTGCCAATATGGGTCCACATAATAAATCATAGTGAGGGATCTTATGTTTTTGTTTCTCACGACACTCAAAACTATGTTTAAATTTATAAACATTTACTTAGTTTCTTATGACGCAAAATATCACATTTAATAAAGAATACCATATATTGGTAGGTGTCTTTTTTATATATTTCTGGAAAACTACGAAATCTCAACATGGATCCCACATGTTTTACAAAGTCCGTAAGCTCCATTTAGGTACGACTCCAACCTACTGTTTGTAATCTATGACAATTAATGGTAAACGAAAAGACTGATGTAAAAAAACCCATAAAATATGCCTATTTACATGCTAAATGTGCCAGAATTAATCAGTATGTGATATTTAGTGCAAATAATTACATTTTGGGCCATACGTTTCCTGGAATGATCAGTACATCACGTCAAATTCCCCGATTTCCCAGACCAGAAAAGCAAAACAGAAAATTCACTAACTTTTCCCAGTTTCTCAGATCCTTGAGAACCATGTCTCAATATTTAAAAACATTACTCAAATAATCCAAACATAAAATTACTGTGAACTTAATCTACAATATAAAGACGAAAAGCTACCCATCTCTCACACAGATATCTTGGACATTGAGGTACTGATTGACACCCAATTTGCAGAAAATGACAGCACCTTTTGCCACGAGAAGCAAGTATCATTTTAAAACTCTTCCAGCCACATATATATAAAACGGACAATGTACTACTTTGAGCATATAATTAGATTTGAGGGTAGATTGGTAGAGGTCGTGATGAGTAATAAAATCAAATCAGGTATATGAGCACCCCACACTCGGTACTGCTGGTGAACAAAAATGAATCATTGGCCGAAATTCTCAATTACATTTGCATGGTTGTAAAGGAGACACATTTAGGCAACATCACCAAATTTTGTCCAACTGGAACCCGTTGGGTACAACTCTTATTAACCCTCATGTTTTATCCACAGCACATTTCAAATTAAAGCAAGGTTCTTCAGCTCAGCAGGTTAACAAAACCAAAACCAGGAAGACAGCCCAAAGAGAAGACATATTAAAAGCTTATCAGATATTTTAAAGAGGTCTAACATTAAGTCATAGAATACCATTTTGAGATTATTTAGTGATAGTATTAAGTACAGTAAATTTCAGCCCAAACTAAACCAAGGAACAAAATGTACACAAGTTAGTGTTATTTTTTTCTCTCCAAATTATAGGCCATACTATATAAAGATACTAATTTAACCACAAATGTTTTGCAGGTCTCTGTTTGTGCTGAAATACGTGTATTCCAAATTTAAAACTCATCATTCTTATTTATTTCAACACCAATTTCATAATTATGAAACACTGATACTAACATACTACCCCTTTCCCCCCTTTTTCCCTTTCCCTGACTGCAAGTCTTTCAATGTTTCCCACACAGTCTGAAGGATAGGCAAACAAAAAGCACCAGTTTTTCCACTTCCTGTCTCAGCAGCCTGAAACATAAAAAAATACAAGTTTTTCACACCTCCTTACAACAAATCTGGTAACAAGTTTTTCACACCTCTTTACAACAAATTTGGTAAATACAAAACTTATTTCTTCAAATGTATAGTTTTAAAAGTGATACTTGATTCTGACCATTACATTAGTTGTAATGAAATATAACTACACATGATGTATCTGTTCAATTAGCAATGCTTATGTCCTTCAGTACTATTGGTAAAAGGCTTTTTTTTTTTTTAAGAGTTTCAAAATGTACGATACTGACTGGTACTTCTACTTTTTTTTTAACTATAAGGATCAAGCCAACCACAAGCTAAAGCTGTACAGCCTTACTACAATTGATTGGCTGAATCATTCCAATGCAATGCAACATGTAGAACATTTTTACACTGTATATTAGGTTGTCAAGAAATTAATGTCGCTTTTTTTTTATGAAAAAACCTGAGCAACTTATGTATATCAAAACAAAACATTTATTTAATGAAATAGTCTCCATTCTCATTGATGATACTTTTCCATCTTACAATCAGGTTGCTAATGCCCTGATTAAAGAAATCACTTGGCTTTGAAGCAAAAAAACATGTCAATGCCCTCTTTAACACCTACCACCTTTGCATACGTTTTCCCATTAAGATGGTGTTGCAG